TTTTTTTTTTGTATGTGCGGTAGATATATTTATGCATTCAATTCAACAGAGCGCGTCTTTTTTGACCGAATGTATTGATATTACAATAACATTTAGTCAACAAGGTTTGCAGAGATCTCGAATTTTATATGAAGGTAGAAGTAGTTATATTTGTTCAACAGTTTTCTTTTATATTACAGTATAACAGATTAAAAGTCTAGAAATACATACTTGACAGCAATTTAATTTTTCGTATTTAGCTCAGGCTGTGCTGGTTTCATGTGAAATCAACAGTTGATTTGGACAAGCAATTAATTTTCATTTAATGCTGTGCTTCTTCTTCATACCAAGACCTTATTCTTCTTCTCCTTTTTTTTGTTTGTTTTTTTTCGTTATTAGAGTAAATAATAGCTAGCGGATATTTAGAGGTACCAATTTCCCCACGGTACTACATTTTTTTTTTGTAAAAGTTCAAAAAAAACTAGAATATCAAAAGTAAAAAAATCATTTTATTTAAATTGGCTTAAACAATAATCTTAAAACGAGAACTAAAATAGAAAGTTGTTTTAGTAAGTATTTTTTTAGGAGGAGTGATAATATGTAGTTTATAACGAGGAAACTGCTACGCTAAGTTTTCACTATAAAAAAATCTTTTTAGTAAACAATTTTATAACTCAATTTTGAATTTTTCTGGTACTAAGGACAATTGCTTGTTGCTGGTAGTTTCTTTTGATAAATAAATGTTTACTGACTTTTTGATTTTTTCAGTCTTAACAGATCTATTCATCTTTATAACAACAAGAACTTCTTTCGTTGTCAGGATTTTTGTTGACAGTGATTTGACAAAGAATGAATAAGTTTTGAGCTGCTGTTGATAAGTAATATATAATAAAGTAGTACTGTTACAAGCGTTTTTTACTTAGAAAAATTATAAAACTGTTACTTCTTTCCAGTAGGTAGATTCAAAATAGTCAAAAAAAATTTTTTGTGGAGTTTGGTAATGCTGTTTACTTTTTTTTCTTGCTTTATAATATATACAAGTTAAAAAGCTAGTTTTCTTTTTTGATTAATTAGAAACACTTACAATTTGGTAGATTTAGCAGGTGGTTTAATTAATTCAAATTATGTTGCAGTAATCAATGCAAAAAATAATTGCAATTGTTGACATTTTTTTATCTCACTACTAATCTCGCCAACCTTTGAAGTCTAAACTTAAACTTTTTACGGCACCGGAAATAGGTTTATAGCTAAATAAAAGTTTTAAAATTTATTTTTAAATTTTTGTCTTTACTATTTCATCAAAAAAAACGGTTTTTTCAAGTTAAATTATGCAAGTAAAACTGTTTTTAGTTGAACTTTTTTTGCCGATGCATATTCAACACCAAAATGTGACTTTTAAGTCATCACCAATTTTATATTGGCAGTATACACAGTTCGTAAAATAAATATTCAATGCTTGAAATAATTTTTATTCAAATCTTATGTTCCGTTTTTCTATCGGCTATAATTTGAAAAAAAAATTATAACAATAGTAAACAGTCACAAATTGTTGCGTGGTCAACGACAGTTAAATACCGGAAAGAAATCTAGCTGTTACGATGACAAATTTGACAAAATGTTGCCGTTCGTTCATAAAAATTTTTCAATGTCATACAAAACGAAGAGAAAAAAACTTTTTTTAGAACAATGAAAATGATCAATAGAAGTAAATTCCGATGAATCATTGTCAATTTTTTTTGGACGCAAAAGAATAGAGATTTTATTCAAATTTTCTAATGTTTTAACCTTCAAAAATGTTGCGCAAAAATCTGCGACTGAAATAGAAATATGTCTCTTCAAATGATAATGAAAGTTCCATTTAAAGTATTTTTAAACTAATTTTCCTTCTCACCAACTTTAAAACCTTTTAGAAAAAATGTATTTGATTTGCAAAATTATATAAAATAATATAACGAAAAAAGGAAAATAAGTGCAACTGTTTGGATATTGTATTAGAGTACCTGAACTAGACTCGAGACTAAACTTCTTACAATACGTTTTCAAGCGGTAAACAGAAATAATTGTTGTTTGAACTTTTATCTGATTTTGATTATATTTTGCACTGCCAGATAAATTGTCCAAAAATATTCTAAAAGTCGATTCTAATAAAAAAAGATCATGTTCCTCTTAGGCGCTTCATCTAAAGAGACCAATACGATCTTATCTTGACTGTGATATAGTACCAGTTAGCTCGTAACCGATTTCTCCAAATTAGTGGTTCAGTGCAGTACTATAAGCAAAAAGTTGTGTGCAACTCTTCGTCAATTTAAATCAATTTTTTATGGCAGTACTGTTTTATCCGATAACAGTTCTAGATAAAATAGTTTCACTTTTACAGTATTGATTTAGCAGTTTGAAATTTATGAAATTGATAATGAAAAGAAAAAATTTGTT